TTATTTATAGTGAGGCATTACCCAGAGTATAAACACTTCTGAGTTCAACCGTATTAAGGGCATTCCAAGTTCGGCACATGCCAAACAGCTGCTCCATCTTACACGTTTTCTACTGTGCTCAACACATAAATTTATTAATATTTTAAATCTATAGTAACTTATTTTGTTATATAGCTTGCAATTAATTACCGCTGCAGGCGAATGCCTATATAAAGGGCTTTCCCTCAAATTGCCAGCAATAGTTGGAGCTAGCTCTGGTTGCGTTTGTCGTCTGGCGTCTGAGAATTCGGAAACTATTTGTGAAAAGTGAAAATGTTCTTCAGGTATTTGAGGGAGCCGACGGCAACGGATCTGATGCCAAGCCGCGATGGCTTCAAGTACTTGGAGTACGGAATGATGGCCTTGGGCTGGGTGCCGCAGGCGATCGATAAGAAATATCTTTGCATCTACAAGATGTGGACGATGTTTGTGATATGCTTGGCTGGCTATTTGCCCGTCGGCCTGTGCATTACCTATGTGAAGGAGTTCAGCACGTTTACGCCCGGAGAGCTGTTCACTTCCCTGCAGGCGGGCTTCAATGCGCCGGCGGCCTTCACCCGTGGCGTGATATCCTTCCTGAATGTCTGGCGGCTGATGGAGCTGAAGAAGCTGCTGGATGAGATCGACAAGCGTTGCGTAACGGAAGAGGAACGCATTCTAGTGCATCGGGCCGTCATACGTGGCAACAAGATTTATCTACTATATCAGTTCACCTACTCGATCTTCGTGACCCTCACGTACCTAACGTCCGTGTGCCGTGGCCTGACGCCCTGGCGTGTGTATAACCACTTCATAGACTGGCGAGACGGGCCCTGGAGCCTGTTGAGCGCCTCCTTTATCGAGTACATTATCATGTCGTCTGGCGTTTACTATAATCAAATGACCGACGTGTATCCGCTGATCTTTGGCTTTGCCCTGCGTTCGCATCTCCAACTACTTTGCACACGGATCGAAAGTCTGCGCACCGATCCCTCGATGTCAGAGGAGCAGAACTATGTGGCCCTCAGGGGCTGCATCGGAGACCACAAGCTAATACTGAAGTAACCCTAAGCACTGCTTATTCCATATCCAGAATTTATTTGATTGATTGTCTCTCTAGGATTTGCGATCTGATGCGACCCTGCATATCGCAAACGACATTTGTGCAGTTCCTATTCGTTGGTCTGCTCTTCGGCCTGACCATGATCAACTTGATGTTCTTCGTGGATCTGTGGATGGGCCTCGCCTCGATAGCCTACATTATTGCGCTCTTTTTTCAGACATTTCCATTCTGTTTCACTTGCAATCTGATCGAGAGCGACTGCGAGAAGCTGGCCTTGGCTTTGTTCCAATCGAAATGGGTCGATGCGCCGCGCCCATATAAGTCGGCCCTGATCTACTTTCTGCAGAATGTTCAGCAATCGATACGATTCACAGCGGGCTCCATATTCCCCATCAGCCTCGACACCAATATCAAAGTGAGATTGAAAATTTGTCACTAGCCTTGGCCTGAAATTCAGATGAAATTGCTTTTATAGGTCGCCAAGTTGGCATTCTCTGTCGTAACATTCGTCAAGCAAATGAACATTGCTGAAAAATTGAAGACGACATAAAGTGGCTGAAGATGTTATGCATGAGTATATATTGGGTATAGCTATATATAGTAGAGTATATAAGGTGAAGAGTATGCGTATTATTACTATGGAATACTCAACATCGTTAAATATCAAATTATTTATTTAATTTGAACTTTATTTTGATTTAAAATTACACACCCCTTTTTAGTGAATTTCTAGGAAATATAATGTTTAAATATATACAGCTATGTTTACAGGAAATTGAAGATTAAAACACATATTCAATTGATTTCAATTTTTAAGTAATTTACATGCATGGAATTAAAAGTTCGCGTTCAACTAAATTGGTGGGGAATACCTCTGTTATTTCATAGCTCTCAACCTGCAACTCTTATTTCTTATGATGCCCATCAATTGCCGTTTAGCTTAATAGCATTCAATAAATAAATATTTATATATATCATCAATATTGTCAAAGGGAATTTCTTGCCAAAAATAGATTTTCATATCAAAATATATAAAGCTGTTGGCCACAACAGTTGGCCAAGAAGATGCAGAGGAAAAATGATGTCAAATTGTGGCTACTTTCAGATGCACAGCTTTGAGGCAGTCAAAGCCGAGTCGAGCAGAGGGATAGAGCCAAAGCCAAAGCCAAAGCCAAAGCCAACGAAGAGTCTAGTGTAATCCCAGTGGCGAAAGGGTCTGCTCGTAGACGACATAACTTCTTTTTGGCATAATAAAATATTTTTATTTTTTGGCACTCGTCCAGACCCAGCCGAAAACAAAAACAAAAACAAAAAGCCAGAACAACAAACCCGAGCAGGGCAAACAAACAAGCGACGAGAACAACAGGAGATGAAGTGGACTTGGACTTGGACTTGGCTGGTGGGCCGGGCTATGGCCATGACAGCGCCTAAAGTAGCAGCAGTCAGTGCAGTCAAGTGGCCGGGCCAAAATGTCCTTGTGGCCAGGCTCCAACATCCTGCAGCGGGGCGAGGCAGCCTGTCAAGTTCAAGAATTAGGAAAAAAATATTTAAACAAACTCAGTCAGAGAAATCAAAACAATAATAATAATAATGTGAATGTCTATAAGAGAGACTGAGTGTGTGTGTGTGTGTGAGTGCTTGTTCTTTCATGTCCTGAATTCTATGAAAGTGGCTAAGAAGGGTATCATGGTCTTTATGCAAATGCTTGTAGCAGAGAGAAGAAGAAGCAACGATGCCTCTCTGTAGTTTACACTCTCTTCAATAGAATCAACAGAGGAGAGGCTATTGTTTATCTGTGCGTTCGAGCTACAGTTCGTGCGAGTTTCAGTCCGAATGACTCAATGTCTGTCCACGGTATACGGTACAGCTGTCTGACGCTTTGACTACCCGACGGTATGTTGAAACTTCAGTTCTTTCGATGGAATGTCCGCTTGATGTTATCCACGCTTGAGCTTTAGGTCGCTTAATTTGTATGCTCTCTGTATGCAGACGTGTCTGTCTTTAGGCCTATTTACCCGTGTGATGAACGTGTTGATCTTTGAGCCCATAAAAGACCATTAGTAGACCAGTAGACTCTTAGCATTATTTTTGAGCCTCTGAGAGACTAAAGACTAGATAATTAGATCTTTATATGTAGACCCTTCTATAGCATTCTAAACATTATCTTTGAGCCTATGAACTCTCAATCTAGTCTCTAGTCTCTCGGACTGATTGAGAGATCTTTTCAAGGGGATAGAACTTTATTCGACCTATGGCGATTTTCGATTTGTCGTGGTACAGATTTTTGGGACTCGACTCTAATTATTTTGTTTGCTAAGATCAATTTGATATATAGTTTCTCAACAAAACAATATCTCCTTTACCTCCATTTGATATAAAAATATATAAATCGAAAATAACAGAGTTTTAATCAATTATATATATTTTGATTGTATAGCTAAGGTGAAGCTGGATTTTCTAGCACATTATCTAATTACAGGGCATCTCGGCACTGGAACACTCTCTGCACCAGAGCACTCTTACTTGCTTAGTTTGGGCTCGTCTGGCAGCTTTCCCGAGTCTCTGTCTGGCTGTCATGATTTTATTTGCATGCAGGCGCGTGTCAATGTAAACTATGAGCCCCAGACGCGTTCGCCATGCCCGCTCACTGCCACGCCCCTGGTAGCAACTCCTTCCAGAGTCGCGTGCAGTGAAGCGTTGCTGGCTAAATTTTTGGCAGTCAGCCGAGAACTATGCAATGTCTGCCCTTCAGCAGCGAGCTGCCTTCCTGCCTCCTTCCTGTGCGCTGTGGAAGCTGCGCAGTCTTTGCTTCAATTTAATAGATTTTTTAGGCATTTCAAATTTGCTTTTTCACATGCAACATTTTTCGGCATTTTTTGCATTTAAATGTTTGTTGGCAAAAATGCATTTAAATTCATGGATTGCTCACAGCAAATAAAAGAGTCACTCGCAACGGTAGAGGTAGCTCACGAACTCTGCGAAATGCATTTATTTATGTGTCAACAGCTGCTGCAGCCACAAAAAAAAAAAAAAAATCTTAAAAAAATAGTCGCAAGTATTCGGGAGTCGAATTTATAGTTACTCTAAATTTAGACAGTAATTGAAAATATAAAAAAATTGTATTAATTATTAAAGCTACAAAATCTCATTTATTGAAGGCAATTTAAATTGCAAAATTTCTAGATTTATATTAAGTATAAGGTATAAACTCACCATATTTATAAAAAATATGCAAAATATGTAAATATTATTTAACGATATATTATATTAATATTATTATAATTTTTTAATTTATATATTCCAATATTTATATTTTTTGCTTTTATATTGTTTTAACATAATTGCATAAAAAAACCTACAATATTTTATTAACTTGTTCATTTTTCTCTGTTTGCAGTTTACCTTTATGCCAACGAATTGAAACAAATGCTATCTAAAATGGAGAAAATTATATATGATATATATACCTACTACTTTATATGTATAAAAGGCAGAGTAAGTAAAACAACTATTACTACTAATTATATATAATTAATATATGTATATAAAAAAAGAAAGATGTATATATACACATAGAAGCTATTCTTAATCAAATTTTTAATCGTTCTATAATATAATTTTTATATGAAATATTTAGCGATTTTTTTTAGGAACGCTTAACTAAAACTTAATGCATTACTTTTATTTTCTGATGAAAAAAAAAAATCATTTACGCACTTTTTAGTATGCACTTTATGTACTTTTAAGGTACGAACTGATTAGAAATCATGTTTCATATATAAAAACAGAGTTTATAATACGTAACTTCTAATAGGATACTCTTTCCCAGAACCATTTTATATATTTTGGAAAAATATAATGAGCTGAATATCAGAACGCACGCCTAATTGTGTTCATTAAAGTAATTAAAATTTATAAATGATATCTATGATTTCATTTAAATTTTGCCAATTTGTTCTGCTTTATGTTTAGATGTATAAGTATATGTGTACATATGTGGTATACTATCAATAGTTGAGTCTAATTAGTTTATGTCTCACTGCTCTTCAATCAATCGCCAAATAAATTAATTTTGTTGACTATAAATTAACTTGAATGTAGGTCAGAGCGTAAATCGTACAATATGATGCTCTATATAAAGTCTATAAAATCATTTTTGGCAGTGCGAGAGAGAGAGAGAGATACAGAGAGAGAGAGAGAGGATGTAGGTATAAGAGTGAGTCGGGCCGTGAATTTCTGAAATACTGAACAGTCGAAAGCAACATAAATTAATATTCAGTTAAAAATGTGCAAATATTTTACACGCATGTCGCTTATTGTTGTTGTTGTTGTTGTTGTTGATGCAGTTAATTTTTATTATCTTCTGTTGTTGTTGTGTTTTTTTTTGTGTTATACAGAATACTCGTGCATTTTTGGAAGTGCTAAAGGATTGCGAATGCAACAGCTCTTCTCTCTCGCTCCGTCTCTCTTTCTCCCTTTACCTTTTTATGTATTTCTTTTGCTGCTCTTTATTTTCTTGTCGTTTTAAATTTATGAATTATTTGCACTGAATTTATGAAATGTAAATGTTGTTATAGTCGTTGCTGTTGCTATTGTTGTTGTTGTTGTTGGCCTGTGTTGCATACTCTCTGGCAGCGACTTATCTGCATTTCCTGCATTTTGTCCTGGGCTCGAGGTTATTTACATGCATTTCAGCTATAAATTAACCCGCTCCTTTCTCTACTCGAAATAAAAATACAAAAATTAAAACCAACAGCAGCCATCAAGTATATCAATGAGTATGCAAAATATTTGGTCTGATTTATGCAAATCTTTGCAAATTACAACAACAATGAGCGCACACACACGCACACACGCACATATGCGGTTAATTAAAAATTCATAGAATATTATATAAAGTAGGCAACTAATATTCATAGTTTCAAGTTTGCACTCAGCCAGAAACTCAAAGACCCACTTAATAGTCAACCCAGCCGCAGGTTTGAGGCCAGGCGGTATACGAATTGCCTTAAAAGATAAATGAACCGCAAACTAAGTACCTTCTGCCCTTGCCAATGCCCACCACACACACACACACACACACACACACACACACATGTACACAAAGGGAAAGACACACACATGCTGGTCGGCATTATGAGCTCATTAATTATTCATAAATATTGCTTTACGCAATTAGTTAATTCCAGGATTGATTGATTTACTTTTGTCTGCATATGCTTAAGCTGTTCAGCTATTGCTATCTCTGTTGTCTCCTCTATGTTGCTCTGTCTCTGTTTGGCATGTTCTCGGCTCTATTGTGTCATCTCTCGATGATTTGTGTCATCATGTTGTTGTTGTTGTTGTTGTTGTGGCATTGTCTTCGTGGTTGTCGTTTCAAGGCAAATAGTTCGCACAGCTAACGACAAAATGCCATAAATGCTTTTGCCGTCTTGTATTTGTATAGCCCCATGGCTAGGGGTATATTGGATAAGAGCAGCAGCCACCTGCTCCCATCTATGTGGGTGGATGGACAAATGTCTCTCAGTGTGTGCGGTTCGATGGCTTTGTCTATGTGTGGACATGCGTGAGTCTGACTATATATATACATATATATATGTGTGTGTGTGTGTTCATAGTTTTGAG